GCCCAGACCCCTCCCCGCCACACACACAAAAAAGTAGTAGTAATTCTTGTGTAGCCTGTGAGACAGTCGTCTATGCAGCAGCCCACACTCAGTTGTCTTTGTTGCCTAAAACAAAGCAATACAACAAGACATTTAACATGACTCTGTGTTCCCAATGGGCGACTGCCTCCGGGTAACCGGAACCCTTCTATTCTGTTGTGTTTTGCATAATCTCCAAATCCCTGTTGGATTTGGCATCCTGTGGCTGTCTGCAGAAAGGCTCCTAATTCAAAATAAACGCTTTTATCATTGTCCATTACCTGGTGCTGGTTTGTCGCCAATGACCAGCTGTTCAGTTTTCATTGTATTAACGTGCAACACACTCATCATCAAGGGGACACATGGAAAAAAATAACATCCCTGGAGGGCATGAATTCATAGCCTTCCGGCCCGTGTTGGCTTCCTTCTCTTTTCTCTTTTGGTTGCTGTGGATTGATGAACACAGAAGCTGCTGTGTTTACGGTGTAAATCTACACTCAGAGGGAAGCATTAGCCTCTGGCCCAAGAGAAGATTAGTGGGCGTTAGATGCTGCTAATGTTCTCTAAGGGAGCTGGTGGATGTATTCTGCCCGGTGATCATTGTTTTCACAGTGGAGACACTGGATGTGTACCAGCAGGTGCATACATTCCTTCCTTACAAGGAGTCAGGGGCTCTTTGACACCCCAGGGATCACTGGTCTAAGTGTCAATAGCAGTCAGTGCACTGCCTGTGCCCCTCCCCAGCACCTCTCATCGGCTGCCCTCTCCTCTCCTCTGCTGATGTCACCTTTTCCTTTTCTGTGGGCCCATCGGGATGGAAGTGAGTTGATATTTTCTTGCTGGTAATTCTTTTTCTCTGAGTACTACAGAGTCAAGCATGTCTGTAGATAACTACCAACTGGTCCAGGAAGGTGGGTTAGCAGGTGAAGGCACTTGCTGCTAAGCGTGGCAGCCTGAATGTGATCCCTGAGACACATGTAAGCTGGAGGTAGAGAATCAAGCCTGGTAAATTGTCCTCTGACCTTCACATGCATGCTGACGTGTACACCTCTGACCTTGTAGCTTTAAGTCATTACAAGACTAAAGGCAATGTGTTCATACCTCGGTGAATGCAATGCCTTAATAAGCCCAAGCAAGGCATGAAAGAACGGAGGAAGATTTCTTACCAACCACAGGTAAAGAGAGCTCTGGAGTCATGTCCAAAGCCATGATGTCCTTGAGCAAAGGAAGCTTGGGATTTTATTCAGGGAGTCTACAGATCCATACAGGGAGGGCCCATTGCTGGGCATGCTCAGTTAAGGAGCACATTCATGAGCATCATGGGCTAAGGAGTTCATTACTGAGCATGCTCAGTTAAGGAGTGCCCTCGTATGAAATGGAGCACATGTTTAAAGATTAAAGATTAAAGGGATTTAGCTCAGTGGTAGAGCGCTTGGGCCCTGGATTCGGTCCTCAGCTCTGGAAAAATAAAATAAAATAAAGATTAAAGGGATAAACAGGAGTACCGCTGGGCATGATCTGCATGCATCATGTACCATCACGTTTTGGCTGAAAATGAATGAAGATTGCTTTGAAGGTGCGTTGATGTGGGGGTCATTGCTGAGGGTGCCTGTCTCCCTTAGTGGGTGACAACACCACAGAGTGAGTTTTTTTTGGTTGTTGTTCATGAAGCAGTCTGTATGATTTGTCTTCCTCCTTCTTCCACCATTTCTCTTCCTACTCTTCTTGTTTCCTGTGTTAGAATGAATATTTTGTCAGAG